AATTTTCTAAGTAAATTTCCAAAGGTAATGAAGTCAAACTCCTTGTCATCAAATCATGGAAACATTTTGTACCTTAAAAATAGTTCTAATACGAACATGTGGTACTTTCTAAGGGCTCCGAAGTTTTCTTGAACATCTTTCTTGCAGTCTGTTTCTCTGCTTTTTTCCCTTGCAGAGATACAAACCTTTAAAGATTAAAGACTTTAAGAAGCATTTAAATAATTAGTTTTTAGCCACCCCAAGAGTGAACATAAAGAAAACCACAAAAGAAAAAACCAGACAATAAGAATTAAGAACTCTTGTAATCCTTTGTCATCTATGTGTTGATTAAAGAAAATGTTAAACTGTAGGGTATCAGCAAAGCCTGCAGAGGATTTGTTGGTGAAATGAATAAAAGAAAAATCTAAAAAAACATAGCTAATTAAATTTTCTTGCATCTTTACTGAATAAGAAATATAAAAGAAAATTTATCTTTGTTGTGGTTCTGATTTCCTCATCCTGGTCAAGTCTGCTCTTAGTTTAGAAATATACTGGTTTGTTTTTCACATTTTCATTATATGTTGCTCAGACTTCCTGGATCTAAAGGAAGCCTTGGGATTGGCCATGAAAACAATTTCTTTTGGAACAAGGCACTGGAGTGACTGGGATACCAAGGAATAAATTCAGATCTTATACATGGATAAGGAAATATCCAAAGGCAAGAAAAACCTCTTATACGACTCAGAAAGTGATGCTGTATGAGAGAAACTGTGTCCCTTCATCTTATTCTCCCCTCAATCTCTCAGACTCTTCCTCCTCATGGGAGCCTAAACACCTATTCTATTCTTTCTATCTTTAGCATTTCTATCCTTGCTTTGTTTTCATTCATACCCTTTCAAGCTCGCTCCCCTACCATTTCTACCTGCTCTCTCTTCATTGTGTTCTCTTTGTCTGCTCTTCCTTCATTTCCACATGTGGCTTTAGCAGAGCTCTGGCCACCTTCCTCAGTGCCTCAGAGTGTCTCCATGATCCTATTTTGATTTTTTTCTCTTGTCTCTCTTCTTAAGGATTTTCTTCTCTCTTTTTTTATTAGCTTTTTTTTTTAAATTACATGTTCTTTTTTTTCTACCACTTCAGCCAGCACTTCTTCCTTTGTATATTTTGTGCTGCAAAATATTTTTTGAAACCTCTGTAAGGCAGCAGTGGGTTCCTGGGATAACAGCAAACTACAGAAAAAACTTTCCTTGACTCTGAGCATTCAATACAACAAACTATGCTCCAGGCTGAGAAGCACAGCTCCTTTCTGCAGAGCACTAAAGAACTGACGTGTGCAGATGCTGCTCCATCATATGGTATTGAGCAGAAAGAGAAATTAATTGGTGGGAGTTAAGTGAGCACTTATTGAGGAGACACAGCATTTCTCAAATGCCCTGTAGTTGTGACTCACACTGCCTCCCACTCAGTTGAAGCATAATGTTCTCTAAATCTGGGCACGGATTTGATGCATTAGGAAGCAGGAAGTTAGGGTTTGTCATTGATGATACAGGGCAGGAGTTTTCAGTTGATCACAGCCCATCAGGATAAAAAACTCTGAGCTATGGAGCAATATCCTGTACTTTGCAGTATCTGTCACCATGTTTAATCCTGTGTTCTTTGTTCTGGGTCTTTGTCCCTTTGTATCGCAGCCTGGGGGGTCTCAGAAGTATGTACCCAAGCTGTGGATTCAGGAAAACTAATTGGGAAGCTACAAACCAAGAGAGCTAGACTTACTCCTTGGGTAGTAGTCAAAGTGGATTTTGGTTCACATCAGCCTTTGAGTGAAATGACTGCTAAAAGTAGAGATATGCTAGAATATTTTAGGTTTTGAGTATGTTTGCAATCAGTCTCATGGCAGGCTTGTTTTGCAAGCTGGAATAGTACCCCTTATATTTCTGCATATAATTCACACTGCTTCAACTGTTTTGCATAGATACAAACTAATATAAATACCCTTACCTATACTACAGTTTTCTTCACATTTCATATGCATTTAGTGCAAAATCCAACCATTCATTAAGCCCCAGTCTTGTTTTTCTTTGTTTCACACAGTGATAGCAAGACACTCCAAAACTCAGATGAAGCATGAAAAAATGTTTGGACTGTCTGACTGCTTTTAAACAAATACAATTTTTTTAAAAAAGTTGGTGGAAGAGCAAGAACACTTCTACCTTTCACAATATCCAATTTTGTGACAAAATAGGTGTCCAAATGTTGCTTTTCCATGTTGATATTTCATGCTTGTTAGTTAAAGTAAAATAAGCTCCAAGTGACATTTCATAGTAAACCCCAATCTCATGAAATCAGTAAATCATGGTTTAGTGAAACAATATTTCTCACTTCATTCACCCTGTTTTTTTCTGGTTTTTTTTTGTCCTTTGTCCTTGACTGACTATTTAGAACAAATAGAGGCAACTTCATGGATTCACTTCACATACTGAGTGGGTTTTATAAATCTTTATTAACTGTTATCAGTGGCTTAATAAAAAATTGCAGCTGTCCACCTAGAATCCCATAGACTGTGCTGATATTTTATGAAAGATTTTCTTCATAAACTACCCATTCAGCCAAGAATGGGTCCCATGACTGTGCAAAGAAGGATTCTGTACTTGATATGAAGCAAGAAATCCCATGCATTGAACTGATGTTAAGTAAAGAGATTATCTAGGGAAAGGATGACTCAGATGACCCTATTTTATGTAAAAGATTGTTCATACACACAGAATGGACTCTCAGTTAATTATCTTACCTTCCAAAAAGCCTTTGTGCACCACCAGTATCATGAGTCCGAGGGCAAAGTGTATGATGAAAAAAGGGAAGGTGGATGTAGTAGAGGGAAAATACTGCATATATTTCTATCATTAACTTAGATAAAAATAGACCTCTCTCCCTGCTATCCTCCTCATTGGATGTTTTAGGGAAATGCGTTGCTCTCAATGCTTTCCACATGAGTTTTTGTTTAAAGAAAAAGAAACATGCATTATTGATGCTTTTTAAACATAGGACATGTTTTCACTTACAAAAATTGAACTGAAACAATTAAATTGGACAAGAGTACAGTTTGTATCAATAATTTACTACAATCATTCTAATGTTTCAGACATCAATAAACTTACTTGGTTCCTATTTAATGTCAAATTTCTCCAAAATTACATCAATTTGCCATCCTAAAGGAAATCAAAGTAATAAAACTTCTACTCTCAGGACTAGACTCTTACTTAAAAACATTAGTTTCTATAACTTAGCTATATACCAATGTAAAAATTTAAAAGGGACAATTATATTATCTTTGGCAGCAAAGATTTCTTAACCTCCATTAATCCATCTTTTTTTACCACTGTAAAAAGAAAATATTAATTACATCTATCAAATCTTGGAAACACGTAAATATCTTTAATTAATCAATCTTTATTTTTCTTTTCCTTCAAGCTTTCTAGGAATGCCAGCTTTCTCCATGGGTTTATGTTACTTGTGATGGGCAAAAGCGTGGTCAAAAAAGTACAGTGTAAAACTTTATATGCAGTGATTTTTGTTCAGGTTTCTCTGTTTTAGTCTTTCAATATCTGAAATTACATTAACAAGAAAAATCGTCATTTGGAGCACTCATCAAGGTCCCAAGTCTACAAAATGAGTACCTGAAAACTAGGTATTTTATTAGACTGGGAGAAGACTGACAATTAAGTGGTTTTGGTAAAAATTAAACTATGACATTGGTCTAAAAGTAGGGATAGGAAGAACATGAGTAAGTTTTCCAAAGTGTTGTCAAAATATAGAGCATTTCTCACTGTGTGGCCTGTTGACTGATGAACATTGCAACAGGCTGAACAAATAATTGAATGCATACACACTTTACAAACTTTATAGTCTTCTATTTACAACCTTATAAAAGTTCCAAACAAATATGTTCAGCAATAGCTGGAACTAGAACAAATATTGGTCAATGAGAAGCAGAGTATAAGTTGTGTTTTCAGTAACAGGATTAAAATTGAAATTAAATTGTTGCACAATGAGTAGGATAAAAAGTAGAACTAATTAATTTACTGTGTAAACAATAAACACTGTAGTGTGAGCCTAAGGGCCTATCCACATAGATTCCTTTTTGGTATCAAAGCTGTTCCTAGTTACAAATAGAATATTTATCTCAGTTTAAATATTCCCGTGGGCATATGGGAGATACAGGAAGCCAAGGTGAATTTAGCAATCTTGCAAATATGGTTCCATGAAGGATCTGGACTCTACCTGGCAGTATAAGAAGTCAGTATGACTTATATTCAAGTGATGTAGTCTCTGTTAATTGACATAAGTCATGAAAGTGATGACACAGAAATGTATACAAAGAAGAAACACCTCCTGTTTCAGTTGTTGTAGAGTTATTAAATGACTCTGTGTTGTAGAAGTCTTTGGCTACCTAAAAAAGCCTTTAGAATTTACCTGCACTTCCACCACTCATGATATAATCATATTGCTAGTCCAAATCTGCCCTCCCACACAACCTCTCAGTTTAAATGGGGTGCATTTTCAAGCCATGGACGTGGCAAAAAATTTGGTAGCCTATGTTTATATTGTCTCCAAAAGCCAAAGCAATGGAATTAAATGCTTCTTACAAAATGCTGCTATTAACCATACTGTGACCACCTAACCAGGCATTGTAAATTCTGAGGGCTTGCATCTCTCTCCTCATTATTTCTAGCCAGGCTGAAAGCTGCCCTGCAGCTCACACTCACATGCAGGGGAAAAGGTGTCATCTCTATCTATACTCTGCTGAGAAGAAGCAAGAGGCCTGTTGAAGCTATATGGAGAATTCAAGGAAGGAATGGTATGACTAAGAAATGAATGATCTTAAAAGAGAATTCAATAAAAGTAGATGGACACAATGCAAGGTCATGAGATTCCTTGTAAACTCAAAGCAGTGGTGAAGTCATCTTTATGTGTATCTACTTCCAAACAAGTCTCTCTGTGTTGCAAAAGAAAAATCAGCAGCATAGTTTGATAACATACTAATCTTTAATCTGTAAAGAAGGTTAATTTCCAAGTTTAACATTATAAAAGAATAACAAATACTTTTAAAAACAAAAATACAAGATAACACACAATTGCCTTGGTTTCTCCTGTTGCAGAGTTTAGAGTACACAATTTCTGGGATACAATTCCATTGCATACAATGTTTCCTATTACTTCAGAATATGTTGGAATTGAAAGGACACCTTTTGATTCAGAGAAAGTTTTCCAGATACAAACTCAAGCAGGGTGCTATTATGAATAGTTGGTCACATGTCAAATCCTACATTATTCAAATAAACCGCAATGAAATCACTGCTTGCTGCTACATTCCTGCCTTCTCATGTCAGCTCCTAGATGCCAGTAGTCCTTCTACCACTGCATTGATCAGCCCAGCTGCTTGTAACTCCCAGCTGTTCAAGAGCAGAACCTTTTTTCATTTGGGTCCCCTGCTTTAGATTCACATCCAAAGTTCTTATTCCCCTCAGACACACATATGAAAAAAGCATTGGGGGGAAAATGATGGAGAAAGTATGAAAACGCTCAAGAAGTTTCTTTAGTCAGTTAAAAAATAGCTTCAGGTGGGGGCAATGTGAATAGCCCCTCCTCTACTGGGCCCGCAGGCAAGCCAAAGGATTTATAAGGGTAGCCATGTGTAGAGGAAAAAGGCTTATCCTTCCCCGTCACAATAGAAAGATTTACTATTCTGCCCCATACAAACTCTGTACCTGCTTTGCACTGACCATGGAAACATGCTTTTAAGGTCCCAGCTGAATCAGACTGGAGTGACACTACAATCTGCCTAACTCCATTTTGGTTTGCTGTGTTATCAACCCAAGTGAAAGCAGACAGGAGAAAAATCCTACCAAAACTTATTAATAAAGGCACTTCAAAAATTGATAAAAGGATACATTGTTCTATAAGCATCCCAAGTAGAATAATTGTTTTTTGAATCCATTAGTGGTTGTATTCTCATTGTATGATCTTTGGAAAGCTTAATAATTACAATAAAAATAAAATGAAATAAAATATTGCCACCAATGAAATATCTGTTCAGTAAAAAACTGCAAAACCAAGTAAACAGCAATTTACACAATTCTCTCAGTCCTGCAAACCTGAAACATTCAACACTGCTTGGACAAAATTGAGAATACAGTAGATTTTTCAGTATAACTCTACTTAAATGACAGTATTAAGAAAAATAAGGCATACTACTGAAATCAAAAATACATAGAATCAGGTTTCTGTGCTACTGTTTGCCAAAAATGTTATTTTTTAAAAAATTGTTTAAATGCAAACTTTTACATCTCCAACATGTTTTACATATTTTAGACAACAAAAGAATACACATACATTGTATGTGATAATTTTTCAAAACTAGCCATTACTTTTTCACAGATTAAAAAAAAAGTCTGTTTAAATATTTCATTTCTACAAAGTGAATTTACATTTTTAAGTACAAAGTGCAAATACTACAGTTGTTTTTATTGCCTTTTGGTGAGGAAATCTCCCACATGTCAAAGAGATCTGCCTTGGATTAGTAAGTTGTTCACCCTTGCTTCTTCGAAACTTGCTGAAAGGAAGTTGGGAAAATTTGCATTATTAATGATGTTTTCAATTAGTCCAGCAGAAAATTCTATCTCTATTTTTTAGCAGTACTCATATGCAACTATCAGAACAGAATTCTGCATAAATATATACAGGGAGTAAAAATATTCCTGCCCTGTAGTCCTTTATGGCACCTGTGAGCAAGGGTATGAGCAATATCTTGACTACTTACCAATGGCCCTTTAAATCCATACCTGTTGATCACACAGTTTGAGCAACTGCCTGGGCAAGTCTCTGGTTCCATATACCTGCTATGGCATGCTCCTATCCTCCTATAAGGAATGGGCTGCTGGCTGAAGTCTCACAATCTGTGGTTTCCTTACAAACCTTTTGCTAGGCTTCAAAAAGCAGCGCTGATGGCACGTGGGCATGTATGTGTGTGTTTGTTGGACAGGGTGGAGCTGAGCAAGGGAAATGTACCTGGCCACTACCTGAGTCCAGTCAGACCCATCCCCTATTTGATCTCTTTTAGAGCAACCAAGCTGTGCTGCAGTAACAACATCCGGGCATGTTTCTCTATCTGCTTGCTTTCATTGAGTTGTTTTTTCAACAAATGTGAAAAAACATGTGCCAAAGCACGCATATATTTAACTCAACTGCTGCTAAATAATAAATAAGTAGAGAGTTTGTGTTTGAGTTTGTGTCTCCTGAGTGGTGCAAATCTGATTAGGCCTTCACAGATGGCTGGTTTCTTTTGAGCAGCTTCTATGCTTTTCAGTAGCTTCCTTTCAAGTGAGAAGTTCTGTGATGAAAACCACCTTGTGCATTTGCAGCCATGCATTGTTCAAGTATAAAACTGCCAACAGATGGTTTTCTTAGCCAGCCTTAATGTAAGGCTATCATTTGTCAGCAACAGCTCTTAATTGATGCTGAGTCAGCAAAATTATTGGACAAAATTGAAAAACATAGATGTTCTAAGGACACTTCCACAAGTCGGTATCAGATTACAAGAAAGGGGAGAGGGCTTGCAATGCTTCAATTGCAATGCATGTGTGCCAGTAATTGCCATTATATAATTAAAATAACCCCTCTGAATGCTCTGGAGTTCTGAAAGGATAATTGTTTTCAGGCTGTCTTGTTTAAGGTGTAAATGATTTGTGGGGAAAACCTGAAAAAGTAAGACCAAAAACACTTGTTTAAACAAACAAATGTATCACATTATTGTAGCTGTGAGAATATTTTATATTCCATCAAAGGTATGTAGGAGGTCTCTGGTAAAAACCACAACCAATATTGAGCTTGCCTTAGGAAGTGCAAACCTAACATCAAACAAAGCAGAGACAAAAAAAGGGAACAAATCAACAAGAAACTTTGAGGGGAAGATTTCTCTTGGCTTGTGGGTAGGTTCACTTGGGGTTAAGTTTCTAACAAATTAATCTAGCTTTATGAGAGATAGAAAGACATTCACCACAACTAGGGTTTTGGGGTATTTTTAGCCAAATTCCTATATTCATAGGTGCAGCATTACCTGAGCTGTTCTTATAATATAGTTACATGAATAATTTTTAAACTAGTGCATCATTTACTGACACTTTTGTAGGCATTAATAATTTAAGTCCTCTAACTAATACAATAGTAAGGTATAAGAATAGTGTGAAGATAACTCTTTTGCTAGACCACCAAGCCACTGGACTCACAAGCCCTCCTACAAGACCATACAAAAGTACTAGGAAGGTATGACAATATTGGCCAGAAATATTTTCTTTAGAATAAGTGGCTATAAAAATAGACACACACAAGTTAAACCCCACTTCTTTTAACTTACTTTTGTGGCCTTTACTGGAGTCTTTCCTTTTCAAAGTGCACCTTTCCTTCATTAAAAAACTCTACTTTTGTGCCTTTTGCAGCTCTGAATGGCTTGAGTAGCCAAACCTACATGGATGACACTGGGGCTACTTTGAAAAACAAGATCAAGTCTTTGCAGAAAACTGATCAAAAAAAAAAAAAAAAAAAAAAAAAAAAAAAAAAAANAAAAATAAAAATCATGGATTATGTTGTCAGGGCACTTGACATTTTATTTTCTCCATCATTCTGCAATTTTAGTTTAAACATAGGTTAGCAGACTGATGCAAATCCTAGTTCTTTGGCATATTTTGCTCAGCCAGCAAAGGCATTTGGAAGTGACAGCTCTTTTCATTGCACTAAGATTTTAAAAGCTGCTTAAAGCCATGATATAATGATGCAGTGGGGTTTGTGAAACATATAGATTTGCACGGGGCATGGGAAATGCATGGCTTTGTTCATTTCAATAAATGTCAGTTTGTGTCTATAGTGTGACAGGAAGAAAAACTGACGGAATTCAGCTAAAGTAAAAGTTAAATGAAGATGAATCAGTGCACATTTAAAAGTGTATGGGAATGTTGTCATTCAGGAATGCAGAAGACTCATGAGGGCTCAATTACACTCACCAAGTTATCATATATGTCCTATACGTCAATATACACCTTTCTAGAAACTTCCACATCCAAGCCTAATCCACTTTGCAAATTATGCACATTTACTCTGCGCCTGTAATTGACTGATTTAGCTTTCCATACATAGAACTTAAGTTAAAATTCATTAATTGGGATGTTGCTTTACATTTTTCTGGCAACTCTGCAAAATATCAGATTAAATCAGTTTGAAGCTGCAATGATGACTGCTAAAACCCCAAGAAATTCAGCCAGGAGATGCAGAAATGGAGATCTTGCTCTCCTCAGTACTCACCTGCCTGCTGGATGAAGTGCTCTCAGTGTTGGTTCTAGGGACTGCTAAAGGAAGGGAAAGAAAACATTATAAATATGGTTTGAAGTTATCCTCAAGAACTGAAGCCCTCATTCTGAAAAGGTATTTTTTAGAGCAGGGTAAATGCACAGCTTTCGATAAATGAGATACAATATTTCATATCTTTTGTTGACACAGCTACTTTTTTCTTTCCTCAATACAGATGTTGCTTTTTTCAAGGCATTATATGAAAGTTGGACATCTCTTGCCAGTTAAATGTCAAATTTGCTTAGAAGTTTGCATATAGTCAAGGCTGAGCATTTCAAACTTACTAAAACTTTAGTAGTAAATATAGTCTATTATGCTTGGCAGTAAAGAAGCATGGACAAATAGAATGTCTGGAAAGCATTCATTTTGATTAAAGATAGTGCACAGAAACAATTCTACAAACCAAAAACATTGTTCACATTTAATCTGTGAAATGACAAGATTATCACTGTTTTTTAAAATTTTTTAGTCTCAAAGACAGTGCCCAAAATAGGGGAAAATAAACCCTCAAAATGCTAAATGAATTTGCTAGCCCATTAATCTTCCCAAGTAAACTTGCGAGACTAGGGAGGAACTTGCTCTCTTGGTTTTCCATTGTCAGTCTGTGAATCAAACAAGCTGTACTGGAACTAAGGGAAACAAAACTGAACACTGAAAAATGCTACAGCAGCTAGTACCCCCTTCAGAAAACATGCTTTACAACTCTCTAGCTTTTATATTGCTTCCAATTATTCTCACACAAGAACCTTGGGACTCACACAAAATTATACAGTCACTTTCTTAGCTCAGCTCTGACACCTCAGGTGACAAGAGTCTCATATTTTCCTAGAGATGTAACTCTAACTGCAGTGAAGTGGTAATTGCTTTCATTTGTGCAAGTGAAAGGAATATCAGAAAATAAATTTTAATTATCAAGTAAGAGAAACAAAATAGAATAATGGTACTCCAACAAAAGTAATTTTTATTGTCTTGTCCTTAAAAATATGTACTTCTAGTAAAGCAACCCAATGATTTGGTTAAGAATTTTTTTCCAACTGGATACCATTAGATTTTTAATGCCAAACTTCTGAGATTTTTTTTTTTCCCTTCCAAAGTTGAATGTTCTCATTATTGAATAGATTTTTTTGAAGAAGATTTGTTACAGAACTTCAGTTATGGTGGTCATAATTTTTATTTCAGCCAAATCTGTGTGTGATCTTCACATTATTTCATGCCTCTTACAATTTTCATTTCCAGAACAGGAAGTTTATCCTAATTTTTCGGGGTTTTTCTACTGGAATATGAAGAAAAAAAACCTGGGGTTTGCTTTCAGTCTTGCTATGGCTTTCCTTTACCTCCTGTGTAGTGATTTTGGACCCAAATTTCATCCGCAATAAGTCCTAAGAATGCCTGCTGCAGCAGGACAGAAGTGTTTCTCTTTCCACATTCATAGCATAAAGATACCAGAAATCATCCACCTTCATATGCATTTTTTTAACCTTCATCATCTAAGTGAAAATTGGAAAGTATCATTATGAGGTCCACAAAAAAAAAAAAGCCACAGAAAAAAACACCTGGATCTGATCAATACTTGTTTTGAGAGATCTGTTACTGTGATCCATAGACAATTTATTTCATTAGTAAAATGTCTCTTCCGACTCTGCAGACATAAAATATTCCTTTCCTAGCCTTGAATACAACCAATGATTCCTTTATTCTACTGTCCTTGCTTCATTTTAAGGTACCAGATGAAACAAATTACCTATATTAATTCTTCCACAACTTCTTAAAGTATGGGGACCTACTGCTTTTTTTTTTTTAATTATTTTTCCCCTTTTCAGGAATTGTGTGATTGAACTCTGCAGGTACTATTATACTCTGTAGTTAGTTGTTCCCCTTCCTATAAGTCTGGCAGCAAGGTAAGGTGGCTGTGTATCAGCCATTATCTCACCTGTTTGGCAAATTACCACATTCCTCTCTGCATCTCTAAACCACATTTGAGACATGAGAACTCATTAGCAAGCTCAACCATGTGCTTCCTTCCAGGAATTCAAAAAGCACAGGTGTGATACTTCCAGCTACTCAGAACACAATTCTATAATAACACTAAACTGGCTTTTTGATGACTGTTATTATATCTTCTTAGGTTTCCTACCATAATACATTTAACAGTTAGAATCAACAGGAAGTTTTTGATTCTGTTGGAGCAAAGTGATCCAGAAGCAACTTTCCTGCCGTCTGCCCTAAGCTACAGCAACATTAACTGTAGACAGGTGTATTCTTTTATTTTGTATAACTCTGGTACATATAAATATCAGGTTTCATAAACTTTGAAGAATTTAGTGAAAAAGACAGAGAGAAAAGGTTCTTACTATGGCGTTTCTTTGTTTCTGCTTTACCTTCTTCTTTTGTTACTCCCAAGCAGCCCATTAATTCTTGAACTGACAAGGATTTATCATTGTTCACATCACAGTATTCCACAAACTTCTTCACACATTTTTTCGGCTTGGATTTCTTTCTTAGGAATCTCTTAAATGGTTTGATTTCCTTCTTGCCGATATCACCACTGGAATTTTTATCTAGCTGTTTGAAATACCAATGGACAACTCTCTCTTCCAGAGTATGATTTGGATCAGGCTCAGAAACACTGGAACAAAAAAAACAACCACAATTTATTCTTAATTCTGATATTTAATACCTTTATTTCAGAATAGTTACATCACTGTCAGATGGCCATTACCATTGTTATCTAAAATGCCCTGGTTTTGGACACTAACTTATAATAAATCTCTCTTTTTTTCATTTTGACCAACGATGTCCTAAATTTTACACTAAGGGCTAAAATCTGCTTTTAGTGTACTTTCTGAAACCCTGTTGAGGTCAGCATCATATTCGGCAAACAGTGTTTTCTCCTTAAATTTCCTAAAAGAGAGAAAAGTGGAGAGAGAAATAAAAAAGACTGCTTCATAGTCAGTAGATACATTAAATGTGTAAAGTAACCAACTGAAGTTGATCAACAATCAGCATTGCCAAATACCAAAGCTCCAATTATAACACATGATGGATTCTCTTAGAGCTAGAACACCTAAATGTATTGAATTACAGGATAAGCTATAAAAATAAATGTTATCTCCTCAGATAAGTACCTGACCTGCAGCTGCCCTAAGTTTGACATCACTTACACATTTTTAACACTGCCTATGACTGTTGATAGCATTGGTTTGTTTTGCAAGCAACTAGGAAGAATATGAATCAGGAAGGTAGCACACATTCAAGAAATAAAGCCTTGAGAGGAGAACAAAGACTGACACACAGTTGCCCAAGCAGCTACAGATAAACCCTGAGCTGTGCTGCTGAGAATTCATCTGTCAAGTGTATCTCTGCTTAGTGAACATAGTCCACAGTGGTGACTTTGAAATAAACTCTCCTAGATAGGCTCTTGGAAATTCACCCTTTATGCAGGCTCCTCCTCAAAGCCCTCAACAATCTGTTCACCACCGTCAGAGGCCTTTTAAAGACACAGAAAAAGGTCTGAAACCCACCGGCTGGAAGACAGTGATGGATCAGAGACTGCGTGCACCATATCTGTGGACAATGCATCCAAAACACTCGTTAGGAACTCATTCTTCTTAGCCCCAGGACAACCTAGAAAATCAGATTTTTTATTTCTTTTCTTGTTACCTGTTTTTACAACACTTAGACTCAAACAATAATTTAGACTTTGAGATAGATATTACTCCCTGTACACAAATTTCCATTAATTGTGAACGTGTTCATAACATAATTCAAAGACAAGCATTTAAATTCAGGTACAGATCTGTAACAGAGTAGGAATAAAAAACCAACCCATTGAACTGAAGCAAGTGTGAATTTGTTTTGCATACCTTGAGTTCTTTTATTTAAATTTTGACCATAACTTTTCCTTCTTACAGATGTCTTTAACATGGGTGTCATATTTTGAAAAAAAACTGCTGTGAAGCCATAAAAGTTTGTACAATGATGCATGTACATGAAACATGGTCTAGAAGTTGACAAGACAATACCTATTTCAGATTTCCACTTTTGCTCCTCTTATTTTCCACTAGCTTTCTTGACACACATATTTTCAGTACATTGGTTTTCCTCTTTGTAAAATGATAGTCAACTCCTTGTGTCCTTCCCTTTCCTTTGGACAGGGGTTAATTAGCAGTATATAGCACCTCGCCCAATCAGTTAGTTGTCGGTACTTAGGTTCATACAGTGAGAGCCTATGGTGATGCTAGATCATCCTCATAATCGCATTCCCCGTGCTACAAAGTTCTTCTCTGAAAGAAACTGACAGCATGTTTTGGACACATAATATGTCAGATAAATATATACTGAAAGATCCCCTCGTCAAGCAGCACAGCTGGAGCAGATAAATTCCTCTGACAACCACATGGAAGTTGACACATGGACATTTGCTTATACAATACACCTGCTTCCTCTCCTTTCCCTAGAGCCCTGAGCCAAACACCAGGTCTTCCTCTAACCCTCCAAACAGCTGAGTTAAATAAGGATGATCCATGGTCAGTGACATGGAGATTACAAGCTTGAAGCTAGAGCCCACGGCAGGACTTTCACAGACAATTCCATGCTGGAAGCCACTTACTGTAGCTCTGTTTTAAAGTGAAAAATAGAAATACTTTGAAGTGTTGTGGAAAAGTAAGATTAGTCAGTCAGTAGGGATTTGGTATTTTATTACATTCCTCAGCAACCTCTGGAGCAGGCAGTAGGACTACATGAGCCTGAAAAGCTTAATCTTGCCCAGCAAATTATTTTTTAATACATCCCATGTTGATCCAAGGAAATAAACCTGTGTTATATTAGCCCTTAGTTGTGTTGCAGTCAAAATAGCTCAGCTATTATGTACAGCAGAGCAGAAGTACTCACTAGATGTTATTGTCTAACACATTCATGTAGTTATGAGTTCCTTGCCTTTGGCACCACGGATATTTTATTTCAGTAAAAGGTATATAAAAGGAATTCACTGAGGCAAGTTTCACTGCACTAAAGTACACATATGAAAGCAGTTGTCACTCAGTTAGATATGTCCCTTTTTCCTTAGTATTTAATCAGTTGTGGGCTTTTTCTTGTCACAACTGGAAAAAAGAAATAAAAAAAAACCCTGCAAAAACCAAAACCAAACAATCCAGCAACTATGACTATAAGTTTGAGTTCAGTGAGGCAAGCACTTCAATTTTCACTGTAAGGAATGAAAGAGGGGCGGCAAGATGTCAGTAAGGGAAGGACAGAATTCTATACCAACAGGTTCCATTCAGTGCATACTCTCTAGTGCAAAGAGTTTGCTGCCAAATTAGGTTCAGGCATTCCAGCCATGAAAGTAAATTGTGGATTGTGATTTAAATGAGGTCACATAACTTTGTGAGCCACAAAAGCACATCTGTCCAGAGACGAGCAGGTAGAGGGCAGGCATGCAGCAGGCACATCCAGTTGTGTCAGCATGCCAACCTGTAGGAGTCAAGCAACTGAGTCCCTGAGCAACCCACTGAGCTCAGTGCTACCTCTTGCCAGCAAGGACAGCCCTGTGGGCCAGAGCTGGTTCCCTTCAAAGGACAGGTGAAAAGTCTGTCTGAGGTTCTCCATGTAGGCCTATCTTGAATGTTATGAGCTTTATTCATTTCATGTTGGAGCTGTTATTACCAACATCAGCCAGAAGCCTAAATTCTGCTCTGAACTAAAGTTGTGAATCGATACAGGCAGCAAATAAGACCTCAGCATGTAACAATGCAGCACAACATGGAGCAAAGGTAATTTGACTTTTTTCTTTCTCTGTCCTTTTTTTGGATAGTTAATAATGACAATATCCAATTTGATTTAGGAGTTCCACCAATTTTTCATATTATTTATGACTGTATTTCTTGAAACATCTGGAAGAAACAAAAATCTGCTCTAGGTAGCTTCCACTGCTGTCCAGGGAGCTGCTGACTGTACAAATACTACAGATACAGAGATCAAAATCCTCACTTAGCTTGCCATTTATGAGATACAAGCAGTGGAAAGTATCAACTTATAAATTCACAAGAAATTGCAGGAAGAAAATTCCACAGTTTAAAGCCTGCCTCTGACAATTTTTCCTAAGAATAAGAAAGGTTTCTAAATGTGCATTTCATAAAGTTGCAATAACAGCTGACAGCAATAGAAATCTCGTAGAATACAAAAAATGGTTGTTAAAACAAACACAATCAGTTGCTGTGAAACATTCTAAATTACTACTCTACTACTTAATGTAAAATGACACGCCACAAAATCCTCATCAGTCAAATACAGAGAAAATATTCAGCTTCTCCCAATTAAAAGTTTTGCTGACCTGTGGGCAATCACACAGCAATTTACCCCACAGTGAAATCTCTGTTCTTTGCAGGTGTTACTAACTCAGAATAATTCTCTGAAGGCTTCAAGCTGAGCTTTAATTTTCAACAAATTTTTGGATGGCAAGACTGGAGGATCTTTAGCTTGATTGTAATGAATAATTCACTTTCATTGGGTTAAATACAGAAAGGGAAAGACTAGTCTCTTATTGGAGCCTTATGCTTCTTGCTATGGTTTATAGGCTTCAGTTTGTTCTTCTGCAGCTGCCTGTCCTATGTGGATTTGACAGCTTGCATACATAGTAATTTGTTGTTAAAGGGTGGAAGCTGAAACCACATGGAGATAACATACTGGTTCAGAACGTAGACTGAAGTGTTTGCTTTAAGGATAGTGTTACCCAGAATAAGCCTTAGACCAACAAATACATATAACAAATGACAGGAATACACAAACACCTCACATCAGCTATAATATAAAGGAAATTGGAGAATCATCATTATGCATTACATCTCTCATATATACACATCTCTCTATACATATAACGAATTTTAGCACTGAGAATGAATTTTTGAACTTAGATCTGTGGGGAGGTTTTCCATAAACATCCTAAAATATGCACCCTACTGCTTTGGAGCTCCCTACTTGATTGATAATAATCTACTACTGTCAGTCTTGGAAGATTATCTTTTACAATGTATCTGAAGTCATGGCTAGAAGAGCATTTTGTTCACTTTTGTAAAAATGGGAATCCAAAACACAAGATTTGCCACCTTAAAAGGGATTGTACATTAATCTTCTTGCAAGAAAGGAGTCAGTCATTCAAGTTATTAAAGGCATGACAACTTCCAATGAGCAAATATAAAGTTTCTTTTTTATTCCCTGTTTGCTAATATGAACATAAAGCTTAGTAGTACACTCAAATACAATTACCACTGAAATACTTCTAAAGATTCCAGGTAGGTTTTTTGTCTGCCAAAAAGCAGAATGACCAGAACTATTTATGTTTCATTTGTACCTTTGATTTCACTGAAACACAGTATTGTACAGAAGAAAATAATTTAACAAAAATTTTCAGTGCTACTGGTTATCTTGGGAGAATAGACAATAAAACAAAAACATTTTTTCTTGGACATTTATTCTATACGCACATATATATGTACAGTTTATTTCTGTTGATCCATGTGAACCACAAGTTTGTGTTTGTCTAGACATGCTGAGGGGTCTCCTCATTTCTTGGAGGACTTCCTGATCTCTTCCTGACTCCCTTTCAAAAAAAAAAAATCCTTCAAAATATGAGCCTGGAAAGTGAAATTTGTTACTCTACTAATTACTAAAAATCATGGTTTCAAATCATATCTCACTGAAAAAGTCACTGCCTTTATAGTTTTATTTAACATATGGACTTGATGACCTTAGAGGTCTTTTACAGCCTTAAGAATTCTCTGATTCCGTGACTTTATGCCTCATTTCAGTTTTTCCCTCACTGCAACTTCTGGTAACTTCTCACAGACAAAAACTATCTACTTCCTATCTTGAAGCCTTAAGGACATTATTACCTCTCCTTGTTAACACCCCTCAGGTATTGCAATTTTTTTATAATTTTTTTTTCTCTTAAATACTCATACAATTTAAAAGAATTAAGTTAAGCTCAGAGAACAATTTTCTTTCATATGTCCTTACTCAAATTTCAAAAATAAGTAAATAGAATACAATGGATATTAGCTGTAGGGGGCTACTGATCCATTGCTTTTGTAGCCCCAGATCTCCATGTCTTACAGGAAAGAAGTATTATTTCTCGACAAGTGTAGGAAGCAGATTTCAGTTCTTAACATGTATTTAATTTGTTGTTACTATTTAAAAATTATCTTTCTGTTCTAATTTCAAGAACAGAACTCTGTTCTTGAAATTAAAACAGGATGTTTAGTTAACTCTTTGTTAACTAAAGAGTTAACAAAGGATGCTCTCCCAAAGCCCTACCCTTCACCCTAGACATTCATATCATACCAAAGTTTGTTGAGGGGGATTTGTTGAACTTGAGCCTGCTGAAATGAGATGTCTCACCCACAATAGTTATTTAAGCTCAGTATAAAGGAACCTATTCAGAAGGCATTCATCCCAACTACCTGAGGTTTGGGTTTTTTTTAGAATAGAAGAGAATCTCCCTTAAAATGTTTCACTTCTTCCCTATTAACCAAGGAAGTCCAGACGGATAACTTCTATTCCCTGGTCATGTTAAAAAGCTTGTGATTAATTCTATATGTGTCTGTTTTACAGATAGATTTAGGCTCTAACTA